CCATTTTAAATCTTAAAAACTTCTTTGATGTTTAAATTACAATCTTTTCAAAGAGAATCGACTTTTAATTCTTTTAAGATAATTCTTTTGGAGGTTAAATTCCAAATTCGTAAAGATTAGTTGCTCACAAAATGTTAGGTCTAAATTTCTGCTGTAACTAGGCTTTTTTTTTTTGACAAACTTAAGTAAATGATTTTAATGGGGTTTTGGGGCGAGATTGCTAATTTGTTGAACAACCGAAAATAAGAATGCAAATTCCAAGCTTCTGTCCTATTTTCGGTTATTCAACAGCTGAAAATATGACATTTTCAAATGTTAACCGAAAATAAGACATTTTCGGATGTTAAACAACCGAAAATATGACTGCATACTCCAACAAGCTTCTGGAATACGCCGTCCTAATTTCAGTTGTTTAATAACCGAAAGCAAGACATTTTCAGTTGTTCAACAACATAAAATAAGAATGCAAATTCCAAGCTTCTATCTATTTTCGGTAGTTCAAAAACCGAAAAAGGGTAAAGAAGTCATTTTTTTTTTAATTTTCGTTATGGAGTAAAAAAAAAGGACATTCCAATAATAATGGAAACTATTTGGTATTTTGATAATAACGGAAACTATAATGGAGATATACATAATTTTTTCTAAATATTTTTTTACAAACTTAAATAAACGATTACAAAACGATTTTTTTGAGGTGAGATTGACGATTTTTTTGAGGTGAGATTGCTAATTTTCTGAATGAAGGAATAAATGATTGCACAATCTTAAATAAATGATTACAAAACGATTTTATTGGGTGAGATGGCTGATTTTCTGACAAATTTAAATAAAGGGAATGAATGATTGCAAAAAAGAATTTTGGGGAGACAGACGTAGTGGCTAAATTTTTTCTTTCGACAAACTTAAATAAATGATTACAAAACGATTTTTGGGTGAAATGGCTAATTTTCTGACAAATTTAAATAAAGGGGAATAAATGATAAATGAGGGGAAACCGATTTTTTGGGTGAAATGGCTAATTTTATGACAAATTTAAATAATGGGGAATAAGTGATAAATGAGGGGAATAAATGATTAAATAAAGGGAAAAAATGGGTGAGATGGATAAATTTAAATAAAGGGAAATAAATGATAAATTAGGTGAATAAATGACAAATGAGGGGGATAAATGATTAAATAAAGGGAATAAATGGGTGAGATGGGCAAATTTAAATAAATGATAAATGGATGAGATGGTAATGTTTTGGGAAAATCAAGAAAAAACATTTTTGGGGTGAGAGAGGCTCGAACTCTCGACCTCAGGATCACTCTTTAAGCTATGAGACCTACGCGCTAGCCAACTGCGCCACCACCCCTTTTGCTGTTCGATGTTCCAACAAATTATTAACAGTTTTAACAATATCTCCACACGTTGTCCATTGCAAACGACTTGATAAAATCAAAAGTTTATGCATCTGTAAAATACTATAACCTCACTCCAGCAAGTAAAATTCTCGCCTTACACGAATTGTACCTTTTACTAAATTTTCCGTCATTATTATAAACACACCCCTCACAGGGGACCCAAAAAACTCCCCACACACGAAATAAATCAAGAAATTATAAAATTTGTGTTCAGACTAAATATTTTGGGTTTTTTTTTTTTACTGTCTATCTTTTTTTGGATTTTCAAAATCCAAAAATTAACTTCATTTTCCGATTTTCAAATGAAGGGCGTTGGCTTGTGATTGTATCACCAAAAAAATTCAGATCTTGAAACTCCAAATTTTGGGCTAAACAATTTTCAGATTTTAAAAATCCAAAACAAGGGAGAAAGCCCATAACTTATGTGAGTCCTCCAATCCAGGGGTCCTGTATGTTCTTTTCAGCAACAGTCGGTCAAGTCGGCCCCATGACTGATTGATTCCGAGATAGACTCCAGTCCTGGTTAGAGCCCAAGTCCGACCCATTATGCAAGCAATTGTTTGGCCCATGAACTCATAAAAGATCTCTAAAGAGAGACCAAAGAGGTAACATCAACAAAAGCACAAATGCTAGGAGTGGAACTTTCAGTGTGAAGTTATGTTTGATTTAGGGGAAAATGACTAGGCATCATAAATTTGTCTGTAATCCCTTGTCAGTTAAATTTATGCATGCATGCATGCATATCAGAGCTGGTCCCAATTCTGAATACATGCAGGGCCTCTTGTTTGGAAAGGGAACATACAAGGGTAGAGACCTCATAGATTGGATCCACAGGGATACTGGAAATGGAGGAAAGATCAATGTTAAGAAAACAGATGGAACTTCAGATAGGCATGTTTGTAACCAGCTCCCAGGATACAACACTCAGGATAGAAAAATTAATGGCAGGATACCCCATGTGTATAGCACCACCATTAGAATCATTTGGAGTGAGATAAACCAAGTCCCCCCTGCCTTAAAATCCCATCAAACTGCATTCATGTGGTTCTGTAAGAATCACAAAAGCACAAGTCTCAAGTGAAGGTTTGCATGGTCTTTTGGTTTGGTTTGTGGAGTTCCCTACAAAAAAGTTGGCACACAGTTAGCCCAACCAGCATGGCCCTGTATTCTACTGAAAAAGAGGCTTGGGTGGTTGCTGAATCGTTTTTGCTAGGGCATGTTATTTCTGAAAACACAACATGGAAGCAGAATTTAGAGCACGGTTTGGAAAGGTCATAAGATAGCTCCACTGGGACGGCGAGCCGAGTAATTCCATACATAGAAATCTCGTATTCCTGGAATTAAAGGGTCGACATGATACTTCTCGGAAAAAATAAATTAACTGGATGCAGTTCCTTAGGAAGTATTCAATGGAAAAATGAGGCAGGTATATTCACAAAGTTAACGCAGCATGAAACATGGTACTGATCTTCAGGTTCTGATCATTGACGGCAATGGCTGAAAATTTCAAAAAACAATGGTCATTGACCGCAATGGCTGAAAATTTCAAAAAGCAATGGTCATGTATTAGCAAGGATGGGATTTAATCAAAGGGGGCTAAAAGTTCTTGCTGTATTTATTTTTCATAATTTGACTGAAAGGGCTTATTATTTTGCTCTTGGAAACAAATACCAATAAACAGACTGGGCTAATAAGACTACTGTTGTGGAGGAACTAAATGAGCAGAGACTGCAAAATGCATTTAAGTATGAGTCTATTATAGCTGCTCTGCATTTTATTTATGTGAAAGTTTCACTAAATAATTACATTTTACGGCTGCTCTCAACAATGAGCTATTGGGGTTCTTGCTCATCTCTAGGTCCCTGCCATTCACATGATGGTAGCAGAGACTCCACCTCTGTTTACTCCCCAATATGAACTAGGTCAAGAATTAATCAATAGGTGGAAAAATAGAATTTCGCCATTTTTGGCTTGATGAATGGCCTTGAACCTTCATTTCTCAGTATCATATCTGAGGTGGGTCATCATTCGAAACATCACAGGGCAGGGCACATTACAATCTCTTCCTTCTTTCACAGACAGCAAATCCTCAAAGCATTTAGTTGTCACAAACACGACATCTGTACCTCTAAGTTGTTTTGAGGAGTTAGGAATCATACTGCTATCAACACAAATTTCCGAGGTTACAATCTTCAAAACCTGGCATTTGCCCTACCCTGGTTGATGGCATGGCATGCATAATCTTTGAAGTGGTTGACATTATCTGCCACCTCATGCAACAAATGATGCCGGTCTAAGAAGGGTGAGGACCTTAAACTTTTACGTAACCCATCTCAAGCTCAGGTAAAGTCGGTGGGTTAGGTAGGCAGCTAACGTAGTACTTTGTCAAAACTTTTTTTTTTTCTGTTCTTTTTCCTTTTCAGTAACAAACGATCCTCCAAAAAATCCATCTGGTTCATGAGTTGGGACACTGTAGCAAGTTGTGTGATCATTGAGAGCAGAGTTAGGTGTAAGCTTAATCATTTGCATTTCATAACTTACAATAAAGAAGCCTGTTGTGATGGCAAGTTTTGGTCTTGGCTAGATCCGTTTGTAAATGAACAAAAATTCCCTATAGAAATTAATGCACATGAATTTATACGACTTTCTTTTTACTCATTAGTTATCATTATGAATTTAGAGAGGCCTATTAGTGTCGGTTACACAAATCTTACTCCACCATTCTACTCTATCAAGGGTCATACTATCAGTCAAACAATAACCACCATATAAATACATATCCATATCCATGACAAAAACATATAAGCCTCTCTAAATTCATAATGGTGATCACCTATTCACTCCGCTCATTTTTCAAGTTCATCCCTGTTGTTCATATTTTAAAATCAAGATGGGTTCAAACATTAAATTTCATAGTTGTTGTTCTAGAGGCCAAGTTGTCAGTTTACTGAAGTCTCTTCAGTGCCATACCATATTCACTCCACCGAGATCATGAAGCAGTTTGCCAGCTATCTCTGCATAAAGAGTGCTGAACTTTGCCCTTTGTCGTCATCGTCCCATTCGATTCTTATCTGATTGCTCTCCTAGTAATCTGTGTTGGACTTTGCCACCATTGTTGCCCATGGATGTCTAAGGGATGCCTTCATATGTTTGAGTCCCGAGAGTTTCATTCATGTCACAGGTCTCAACCAAAAGAAAAGGGCTACAACCAAGATCAGTTGAACATGACATTCATAGATCTCTCTGAGAATGAATGAAGAATGAATCCATCACTAACTTTTGTGGATCTCCAATGAATGTTGTAGCCCAACCAAAACAGCTAGCTTTTTCACAGTTAGAAAGATGTGATTCTCTCTCTCAAGACCACCTCCTGCTGGTTAGACATTTCTTTAGAACTTTCTTTCAAGTATACTTCCACTTTAGATGTATATCAAAAGCATGTCCAGTTTTGGTAGTTTATCGCATTTGTTTACATACCCTTTGAGCATAAAGCAGGAAAAGAGCAAGAGAAAAAATGGAGATTGCCACATAAAGAAAGACGTCAAGGTCACAGTCGTATATGATCCCTCGCATTTGAACATTTGGCAAGCGTCATATGACCAAAGAAATATATATTTTTCCTAAATATGAGTTCATCATCCATCACCATAAATAGCCATTCATATACTAAAAGCATAATCAGTAGGAATGATCAAATATCAGGATTACAAAAGATTAATCATGGTTGGGCACTCTGATGATGCGGCCGCGTATGCGGCGATGCGGCCGCATTTTAAAACACTAACCAACACCGAAACAATTTACACTTTTGAGCATAGAAGGACACTCGACTCTCGATCTCGCTAGATCAACAGACATGCAACAAAAAATTAAGCAGAAAAAGACCTGAAAAAACCCGACTCTTATTTACTGCCTCCCCATTACAGTGAAGGAGGTAAAACGCTTGTGACACCATTTACTGAGGGTTGGGGGACCGGCAATTGGCTGAAGAGACTCTTGATCCCCACTCTAGCAACTCTTTACTAGTATCATCTTTGTGAACAATAACCTCTATAAAACAGAGGCTATCTGTGTATTTTTCGCTAGTTGCTTTCTCAATAGCCTCCAAGAGCTCCTCCTCAGTTCGAACCTGCAAAGAAAAACACCCAATGTTTATTGTTTGATACTTCAGAACCCCCAACTGCATTCAACCATGCACTAAATCTCCTGTTCTCTGATTGATTCTCACTCATTACGGCCATGAGGAAAAGACCCAAACCTTCTTTTTTTAAATTCAAAATGGAAAACAACCCAAATTTCTTTTATCAGTGATTGGTTCCCTCACATTTTCTTCACTGAGTCTCACTCATTTTGGCCAACTCTAATTAGAGTAGAAGATGGAGATAATATACCTTGGCTGTCAAGCATTTGCCTTCGCCGTTGTGAATGGCCTCCACGAGAGCGGTGTAATTCCAGTTCTTTATAACATTGTAAGGGCCATCGTGGATCTCAACCTCTATTGTGTATCCCCCATTGTTTATGAGGAAGATTATGCTCTTCTGTCCATACCGTAACATCGTTGAAACATCCTGTGCAGTTACCTGAAAACAAACTCATGGCAAAAGAACAACGGTAAGATATTGGGAAGTCAAAAACAAGTTAAGAGAGAAAGAAATGACCACATGTCGTGGGGCTCTTGCCTGAAAACTCCCATCGCCTATAAATGCAAGCACTCGCTTATCCTTCGCACCCTGAGCATAACCAAGCGTCGCACCCACAGACCAACCAATTGATCCATACTGCATTTGGAACTCATATCTGTGACAAACCATGCATTAAGCCATGAGGACCATTGCTGTGCGTGTTTGTGTGTGTGTGTGTGCAGTGAGGAAGGGAGGGAGTGAGGTTGAGAGAGAGAGAGATTTACCCGCATCCTTGAGGGAGCCTCAACTTTTGGCAATTAAACCAGGAATCCCCTGTTTCTGCAATCACAGCATTGTTACTAGACAGCATGCCCTGCAAATAGACGATGAAGCCAAAATATAGAGTGAGAGACAGAATAAAAACCCAGAAACAGATTGAAACTCTAGAGTGAGAAACAAACTACAATTTTTTTAAGAGAGGAAACAGAGCATCTCACCTGTATATGCCTGAAGAGGATATTAACCCTCAAGGGCTCACCCGGTGCACCCTTGAGTGGCACCCCTTCCGGAACATAAATACGCTTACAATTCTCGAAGGACATGGGATTACGTTTCACCCTCTTTGCCAAAGCTTTGAGGAAATCTTTCATAAGAACACAACCGAAGGCTGGGCCATTGCCCACCACCACTCTCTCAGGCTGAACAATAATCGCTTTCTCTTTCTTCAAAAGAAGTGAATAACCAACTGAGCTATAGTCATTAAAGATTGGCCCTGCAAACAAATAGGCATCAGCTGATTCCACAATCTCAGCACAAAATGCAGTGCTCACAGCTCCCCAATAGGTCCCAATGAAGTGAGGGTGGTTTTCAGGGATGAGGCCCTTAGCTGATGGCATAATCGCCACTGCATAGCCACAAGCATCGGCAAGCTCCACAAATGCTTCCCTTGCCTTTGAAACTCTGAGTTTCGGGCCGCCCACCAGTACTGGTTTCACTGCCTTGTTCAAGAACTCGGCAGTTGCTTCAACGGCGGCTTCAAGGCCTATTTGATTGGTCACCCTATCACATACAGTGAAATATCTTAAGAGAGAGAGGGAAGGGTCTGAAATTCCAAAAACACAGGGGAAGAGGGAGAGACAGGGAGAGATGCTGAAACCTTAATACTTACTTGGGCGCGATGCAGAAGGGAACCGGCTCTCGACTGAAAGTTGGGTGAGGAATGGCAGGCAGATTGCAGCTTATGTTTATGTAAACAGGTTTGCTTTCCTTCAGAGCAGTGGAGATAGCAGTGTCAATCAGTTCATGCGCATCATCCAAATTGTTCACCACAGCCTGCAAGCATCAAAGATTCAGGAAAAAGAACGAATACGAGAAATCACAAATCCAAAACAGAAGAATAAGAACAAATTTCACAAAGAGTGAAGTTTTAGAGAGAGAAAGCTATCGACCTGGTAACAAGTAACATTCTGAAAGCACCGAAGCTCCTGGCTAAAATCAGGCAGCCCAATCGTATGATGCAGAATCCTGTTCGTGCCATAATCATTCGAATTTGGCCCACCCACTATGCAAATCACTGGCAAATTCTCACTGTAAGCTCCAGCAATGGCGTTGATAACACTGAGACCCCCAACTGTGAAAGTAACAACACAAGCACCAACACCCTTCGCCCTCGCGAAGCCATCCGCCGCATAGCCGGCATTGAGCTCGTTACAGCACCCAACAAGGTTCAGGCATGGTTCCGCAATCAAATGGTCGAGAAGAGTGAGGTTGAAATCACCTGGCACTGAGAAGACATCGGTCACACCCACTTGAACCAGGCGTCGAGCCACGTGGCGACCAAGTGTCGAATCCGAGCTCACACTCGTTGGGCTCGTCGAGCTTTGGATTGCGGACACAGGGAATGGACATGGAGGAAATCCCACGTTGTTGTTCTCTGCTTTTACTGTGTCGATGCTGCCGATCGTCATATCCATCCTTCTCTCTAATGGATGCACTCTTTCTCTAGACTCTGGTGGATGCACACTCAGCTCTGAATTATGTTTTTCTCTTCGATCAGGACTCACTCTCGCTTCTCTCTCTTGAAGCGGGACTTTCTCTCTAAAAACTCCCTCTGAATTATGTTTCTCTCTTCGATCAGGGACTCACTCTAGTGGGTTCTCTTCTCTCTCTTAAACAGGCACTTTTTCTCTCTAAAAACGCTCTTTTCACTGTAATACACGGGTGGTGGGCTTTATAAGGAGATAAGAGAGAAATGTAAGCGGTTTTTAAAACCTGCGGGTTGGATTTGACGATGGTTTTTATGCCTTGGTTTCGAGCCTTTTAAATTGTGAAGTAGAGCTTGATTTAAGGCACACAACCGGTGGTGGGGTTTAATATAAAATGAGTTCTGGTTTGGTGGGGTTTAATATAAAATGAGTTCTGGTTTTTTGTAGAGAGAGAAAATATGAGTTCTGGTTTTTTTTGGAGAGAGAAAGTCGAAGGCATAAGGGGAGGGCCCCGGTGGGTTGCGTTAAATTGCATGGATTATTTTAATTCTCTAGAGAGAGAGAGAAAACTTTTTTTAGAGTGAGAAAGTGGGGAGTTTTGTAGAGAGAGAAAGTCCTGGCCGCTGGAAATGTATGCAGCGGCCACGCGTTACTGATTGCCGCCTCCCGCTCCATGCCTCGCCTCCCGACACGAAGCTTCGTGAAGGATCCAAATTGAAGGGAGAAGCAGTGTTTAAAACCCAGTCTTAATTTCCTACTTAAATTTTCTACTTAAATTTATATATATATATATATATATATTTTAACTTTTATTTTATTTTATTTATTTTTAATATTTTTTGAATAATAGATTCAAACCAATTTAGACTCACTGATCTTAAGATTTGAAGCAAATCTATAGCTGAACAATCTGCGCCACTGGTCTACATTTTGAATCATTGGCTAGAGGCGAGCTAGGGAGAGGAGAGCTAGGGAGAAGAGCAGAATGAGTGATTGCAAATCCGAATTAGTAGAGTAGATCGTCCACTTAATATAATTCAAATGGCCAAACCACGTCAAAAACTTAACAATGTGGTAACAACAACAATTTTGTGAAGAAAGTTGGTTTTTTAAATCATTTCAATACTTCCTCAAGGAGTTATAAATAAATTAACACAATTTAGTAATTCAACCCACTTAAATTTTTATGATAATTGATTGCAATACCCTTCTTATTCTGCATTCTAAACTTACATGATTATATTAGAACGTTTTTTTTAGTTTGAATTACAAAAACAGACAGACAAAATATATTTTGAGAAAGAGACAAACTAGAACCTAAAACAAGCTCAAGTATTTTGGTTAGCAAAATGGTAAAAATGACTGCACTTATTTAGAGTTTGAAAATTGAAACCATGACAATTTACCCCATTTCTTGATAAAATAGTTAACAAAATTCCTATTTCAAATAATTGCGGTTTGTATAAAGCCTAGGCTATAAAAAATCAAATTAGAGCCTACCGTCAAACAGTGTCTAGAAATATGGTTTCAATACCGAAAATCTTTTTGATAGCCTTAAAATATATTTTCATCTTTATTTACAAAATTTAAAGCTTAAAAAATAATTTAGATCAAGAGATATGTGAAAACTTGAAAATCTTAAAATTTGACGATCCAAAACTACGTTACAAAATTTACTATTCCAAAACTTGAAATCCATGTTTTTATCATGTCCATTCATCTTGTCTATCCATCTCGATATTGAGATGATGAATTTGAGCATCAAAACAATTTCTTCTAATAAAATTTTTGAGAGAGGCTCCAATTTGATTGAATAGAGCCTCCACTCAATATAAACTTTCCCCTTATCGAACGAGTAAATGATTTAAAAAGAGTAACAACCATCTCATCAACTTTTTGGGAGTGATTTGACCTGTCCCCCCTAGGTAAAACGAAAACATAAACAAGTGTAAAAAGTGAAGAATCTCATCAGAATAACCGCCTTTGATTGTGCATGGGTAACTCAGATCTATTCTTCTAATGGAAAACTACTTCTTAAAAAAAAATTAAAAATTAAATCAACTGGTTTAGGGTTTTTACCTGTTTTATATTAAAAAAAAAGAAAAAAAAAGATATGTATACATGTATCCATAATGATGTATATAATTATTAGCACTATAAATATATTAACACGATAAGCTAACATTTTCTTTCAAACTCAAGATGCTTTGACACAAAAGAGTTGGAGTTTAAACAATAAGTTGCATAAACAAACAATTCTTTAGGGTCTTCAAGTGCATGACATGATCAATAGAAGCAGTGATATCCATACTCAGATTGCTTGAACAACAAGTATAAATTGCAGTGGCAGATCAACAAGCCTCAAGAACAAATTTGAGCCATCATACAAAAAAACTCCAGATCTTCTCCATAGAAGAAAAAAAGTCAAGACAACTGAGAAAACAGAATGACACCTTTAAAGAGCCAACAAAACTCGGTTTGGATGCAAGATTGATTCAACAGCTCGCAGATCAGAATAGATATGATCAAGTAACGAAAAACTCGATCATCAGACAAGATTGAGTAACGAAAAACTCGATCATCAAAAAAGATCATAAAATGAAAACACGATCGGTCACTACAGATTTAAGACAGATCTGGACCGTGAGATCAAGATCCAGAGGCAAAAACAATCAAACAAAGGGGTGGTTTTTCATATGGGGCAGATTAAGTTTTTCAGAGGGAGCATATCGACCGTTTTAAAAAGCCATTTTTCAAAGTTAGATTTCGAGACGGTTTTCATATCCAAAGCCACGTGAGTACATAGTCCCCTACTACAGAGATGACAACATAGTATTGAGGAGAGGATCACGTAATGCCAGGCCACCCAGGTTCCTTAAGTCAAAAGCAAAGATATACAAAACTGCTGAATAAGCAAAGCTCGGCAACACAGCCACAGTTGGTTAAGACCAAAGGGCATCACAAGTGCTGGATGAGGAGGCGGCCTCCCTGCCTACTGTTGGCTCTAATCATCAAAGAAGAAAAGATACAAAGGGCCTAGCAGAGAGCAGAAGAAGGCATGTTTACGAAGTTGATCGAAGAGTGGAAACCTATTCCAATTCATCAGGAGCGGTTCGAAGTTGATAACATGAAGCAAACTTGCAAAGCAAACTTGTAGTGATTGAATCAAATTTGCAAAGCAAAGGTAAATCTCAATTACACAGGCAGCGCATGACTTCACAAGCAATTTTGTAAATTCTCAAGAGAGGAAAAAAATCCGTAAGGGTCGCTTAACAAAAGAAAATTCGCCTTTGTGCCGATGTAGTGATTGAATCAGGGAAATTCGTCACAACGTCGCTTCTCCAAGAAAACCCACAACCTTGATGACGAACATATGCTTTCTCGGTACACGAATTCTTGAGAGAGAAAGACACAACATCAGAGAGGGGCAGCAATTTTTCAGTACACGAATTCTAGTGAGAGAAAAAAGAAGACAACATCATAGAGGGTGCAGCAGCTGTTTGATAGAGAGTGTTTCATCGAAACACGACTCGGCAGAGAGTCATGACCCGGTGGAGAGTCGAAACACAGGATTCGATATAAAGGGAATTTTCAGCATGAATCACTACTGAAACACGACTTGACAGAAAGGGAATTTCCAGCACAAATTATAGAAGGGAATTTTCAGCACGAATCCTTTTCGACACGAATCGAAGCCAATAATTGAGCAGAGTTTCCCGGCTTCAGATTTGAAGTACGAGCTCAAATCTGAGGTTGAGGAGCGTAAGGCTTTGATACCATATGAGAATCTCAAAATTATGCAGAGAACTATCGGTATATTGATTAATAAAGAATATACAAGACCTCGTATATTATATTGATTGATAAAGAATATACAAGGCTTCATAAAAATATATGGCTAATAACAGAGTTTTTGATAGATACTAACAGTTATTCATAATTACTAACTAATATTATTATAATCAAGAGATATATACCCATACAGATACATGTCTAAGCTAATATGTATCTATAATGATGTATATCAATACTAATCCCTACACTAACAACTTCAAAAATTTTAGAGAGAGAAACCATAGTTAGCAATTGCTGATTTAAATATGTTTTTTCAAAAAATAGTTATTTTTTGTTATCCTTTTAAAATTGTATATTTTTAAAATAACGGGAAAAAACACAATATTTTGAAAAAAAAACATTTAAAGGAGTTAAATTCACTTTTAAAAAAATATATATATAAAAAAATACCATTTACTTTTTATTCAAGGAGGGCATAACCATTCTTGTCTCTTGGATTCAAATTGGGTGATTACAAAAGTGTCATTAAAAAGACTCAAAGTTCAAAAAATAATAAAAAATTCGACTTTATTGAATAATCCAGCTTTCAATTTTACATCTAATGAGTAAGAGTGATTGTGACTTCTTTATAATAAATTTTATATAATGAGACCATTTACATTTGGAATAGGGAGATCAATATTACTTACAACCATCTGACTTGAAATAGGGAATAGGGAGATCAATATTACTTACAACCATCTGATAGCTTGGGAATGTCACAAAGTTCGAGAAAAATATTTTGAACTTTGAGCTTTTTCAATGAAATAAATACAGCCGCCCAATTTTACATCCAATGGTCAAGATTTATTATGACCACTTTGTACCAAAGGTAAACAGTCTCATTCTATACTTTTCCTAAATATAAATGGTCTAGAACCCAGTTACCCAGAGTACGAGAAAGAGAAAAAGGGCAGAACCCAGTTTCCCAAAGAACGAGAAAGAGAGAGGAAATCAGAGAAATGAGGCAAAAACTAGAGGGGAATCATAAGAACTCTAAATTGATAAGAATTTTAAAATTTTAAAAGTTCATATATAATTGATTTTTTCATAACAATTTTTTCAATCCAATCCAATATATTTGCAATACTTTTACATACAATATTTTTTCCCCGAACATTTGAGTTGAACTTTTTCGAGCAAAACCAATTTAATTTTGATTTTGTGGTGAGCTGATATTTTGATATTCTCCAACTTGCTAACTATGAGAGATAGAACTTCAATTTAAGGTTTTAGAGAGAGGAAAACAATCTTAAATTTCAAGTTATTTATTTATGGGATTGCATACTATGAGACCATTTCTTTTTGTTACAAGGATATCATAATAATTCCGAGTCATTAGATGTCAAATTGTGGCTTGGGGTATGTCATAAAATTCGAGTTTTTGTTTTTTTTTTTTTTTAACTTTGAGAGTCTAGCTAATGACTCTCTTGCAACCACCCAAATTGAAATCGAGCGGACAAGAGAGATTGTGATATTTTTGTACTAAAAGTAAATGGTCTCTTTGTATATTTTTTTCTTTATTTATTGTCACATTAAATAATAGTTTATTACTTTAAAAGTTTTGAGATGGTTTCTTTTATTAGTACTTAAAATTTGAAATAATTTTCTCTACAAATTTT